TTCCAGAAACACTGGACAATGATACAACTCAGGATCTATTAACTAAAGCAGTTGAAACTTGCTTTGTTGGACAAAGCTTTATTTTTGGAGTGACGGTAATTGAGACTGGCTTTCCTTTTAATAATTTGTTAATATTTCCATTGTAATGAATTATGTGAATTTTATAAATAGTTGTTAGGAGTTATATAAATGTGAAGGCCTGTAGAAACACTTTAAACTATGTAAAAATAGCCTATAGGTGGTCTGTTAAAACACCATGGGTAGCAACTTCCTCTTTCAAAAGTCAGGGAAGCCTACTTCAAATGCTTTCAGAGCTTAAAATATATAAATTTATTATATATTTAGAAATGTTAGCTATTTGATTTTTGGTATTTAGTATTTATTTTGCCCTCCAGATTTTATTCAAAATTCTGTAGTAAAACTTGGGTCAATTCTCTAGCTTTTTAATTCTGTCATCTCTAAAAAGAGAATAATGGAACACTGAAGGCAAAGTATCTTAAAACTATATTAAGAAGGAGGCTCTTTAATTATAAAAATGACTGTAGAAGACGTTAAAAGAATGTATTGACTTTGAAGGTGTTAAAAACACACGCTTTGAATGAAGAGATGCCCAAACAGGCTTTGTGTGAGCCAATAAAATGGCTGTTTATTCACCGGGGTACAGGTGGGCTAAGGCCGAAAAGGGTGTTAGCGAAGGGCAGTGGGATAGGAGTTGGTTTTACAGGTTTGGGATGAGCAGTGGGAAGTTACAGAGTAAAGTAAATTTCAGTGGTGGGAGTAGGGACAAGGAGTATACATTAACATATTCAGTTACAATGGCCAGTGGGATAAGAGTAGTTAAGATGGCAGGGTGGGGTGAGGGGAAGCTTATGTCAGGGGAATCTCCCCTGTGGGCCATCAGGGATAATGGCGAACACAGGGTAGAGGGGTGGTGATCTGCCAAGGCAGGCAGGACTTTAGACTTTCAGGGTCTGGGCTTGCACATGGAGGCCTGACAGAAGGAATAATAGTTTTCTGTCTCATTTATGCTAAAGGGAACACAGAGACATTTTTTCCACACTGGAATCAGGGTTTTAAAAGAGGGAATAAAGGACTCCATAATAGAAGAGTAAGAAAAATCCAAAGGGAAGGTAGAATCGACAGCTACAGAGCTTTACTTTGTTAAAATCGTAAGCAGTTCTTTTCTCTCCTCTCTTCTTTTGCCCTCCCCCTTTTTCCCCTCCCCTCCTCTCTTTCTTAACTAATGAGAAATATGATAAGTTGCCATTTATTGAGCCACTGTTATTTTCTAAGCATTGTGCAGTTTTCCATTTTATTGCTAAACAGTAATCCTGTATTTTTATATTTAATTTATAAATGAGAAAAATAAGACTCAGAGAGGTTAAATAAATTGTCCGGTGTCTCAACACTACTAGTAAATGCTGGAACTAGAATTTCTTCAAATCAATTTAAAGCTCTTTAAGGTTTATATTCTCTTAAATATGGTACTTTGCCTATAACACTAACAGAATTGAAATTGGAATTGAAGGCTGGGAGTAATAGTTGTATCTATTTTAACCTTTTAAATCTGTTTATTTTAGTTTAGTTTAGTTTTGAGACAGCGTCTCACTCTGTCACCCTGGCTAGAGTGCAGTGGCAAGATCATGGCTCACCGTAGCCCTGATCTCCCTAGGCTCTAGTGATCCTCCCACCTCAGCCCCGAGTAGCTGAGACTGCAGGTGCATGCCACCATGCCCAGCTAATTTTTGTGGGTTTTTTTGTAGAGACGGGCTTCACCATGTTGCCCAGTTTGCTGAGGCTCAAGTGATCTGCCTGCCTCAGCCTCTCAATGTGCTGGGATTGCAGGCATGAGCCACTGCACCTAGCTAAATCTTTGTTTCATATTTAAGTAAAAGGAAGAAAATTTTATTCTTATTTAAATTTCTTTACTACTTTCACAGAATTTTGAAAACCAGTCTGGACAAGGTTCAGAGGACAATAACTACTTACAGCAATGCTCTGTCTACAAAAGAAAACCCAAAGCACTAGTCGCTTGTCAGATCGTTCTACCAGACCCAGACGTTGCAGGCTTTACTGTCTTTGACTACTTCTATCAACTTTTGCAGACTTTTAATTTCAGGAAACTTCATTGTGACTCTCAGGCACCTAATAGTAACTTACTTGCTTTAGATCACTCAAGTAGTGATCTCAGCAGCATACATACTCCTGACAGCACTTCTTATTTTTTCAAGTCCTGCAGCAAGGATACTTGTTCAAAATTCTGGCCGCCATCACTTGAATTCAGTTCCATTGTTTCACAGCTAACAGATGATGATTTTTCAGCTTCAGAACAAGATAAGGCCTTTGGTACTCTTCGCTAGAACAGAAAATCCATCTCCATTGCAGAGGCCGCTTGTTTCAATAGCTGCCATGATCCTATTCAGGATTCATGGAGCCTTGTTTCATATATGGATAAAAAGAGTACAGCAGAAAATTTGGGTCAAGAACTTGGCTTACAAGCTAAAGAGCTGAGTACAGTTCACAGCAGTCATCATGAAACTGGAGTTAATGACTCTTTGAAAATGCAAGAGCCCCTTGAGTCAAGTAATGCAGATTCCTTCCACAGTACAGTGGAAATTAAAAACAGGTCGCAGCATGAGCCACTATGTTTCCAGCATCATGGTATAGATACCCCCACTAGCCTTCAAAAGAGATCTGCATGTTGTTCACCTTCGTTACTCAGACTTGAAGAGACAGCCAGCAGTTCCGAGGATTGTGACCCTGAAATATGGGATGATCTACCATTCTCTGAAAGCCTGAACAAGTTTCTGGCAGTTCTTGAAAGTGAGATTGCTATAACCCAGGCAGATGTCAGTAGTAGGAAACATCATGTAGATAATGACATCGATAAATTTCATGCAGACCACAGCATGTTATCTGTGACTCCCCAGAGAACTACTGGAGCCCTGCATACACCACCTATAGTTTTAAGATCATCCCAAGCAATAGTCAAAGCAAACTCTGGCAAAGATAACTTTTTTTTCAACCTTAAAGTAAATCTAAGTCCCAGTGTTGAAAAGGAGTCACAACCAGATAACAAAGTAGAGGCTGTCTCTGTAAATCATAATGGAAGAGGTATGTCAGAATATTTTCTACCAAAACTGTCAGCTCTGTTTTCTTCTTCAGAAGATTTAGAATCAACAGTTACTCTTAAGACTATAAGAATCTCACCACACAGTGATGAAATTCTACTTAGGCCCATTACTTCAGAGAGTGACCATTCTAGTCTAAATAAATACTTGAATGGACGTGGAGAAAAATTACTTTCAGAAATGAATGAAAAGTTGACAACTCTGTGTTGTAGGAAGTATAATGATGTGTCTGATCTTTGCAAATTAGAAAATAAACAATATTATAGGTGGCCAAAGAACCAAGATGACAGTTTTACAATTTGCAGGAAACTTACATATCCTTTAGAATCTCTTTGCAGTAATCCAAATAGAAGTACAAATACGTTGAAAGACATCCCTTGTGGACATATCACTAACAACTTAACACAGAGCAATTCAATTGGCCGTCAAGGTAGCTATGATGCCTCTGCTGACCTCTTTGATGATATTGCTAAAGAAATGGACATTGCAACAGAGATTACCAAAAAATCACAGGATAGTTTGTTACAGTGGGGAATGTCTTTGCCAGAAAGTCATCCTTCAGAGTCTGATTTTTCACTGCGGTCACTTTCTGAAGACTTCATCCAGCCTTCACAGAAGTTATCCTTGCAAAACCCATCTGACTCTAGGCATTCAAGAACAAGCTCTCCAACACCTCATTTTCAATCAGATTCAGAATATAACTTTGAAAATAGTCAAGACTTTGTTCCGTGTTCACAGTCAACTCCAATTTCAGGGTTCCACCAAACTAGAATTCATGGGATAAACAGAGCTTTCAAAAAAATACCTGTATTTTATTCAGATCTTGATGCTAACTATGAAAAAATAAGGATTATTCCTGAAAATGACAAACAGCAAGCCAGCCCAAGCTGTCCAAAATATATAAAAACACCTAGCCAGAAAATCAGAAGCCCTGTTATATCTGGTATATCACAAACAGAAGTTTTCAACCACCATCCTTTAGCTAAGTGCCATGAAACTGATAGTGACGAATGGGTCCCTCCTACCACACAAAAAATATTTCCTTCAGATATGCTTGGATTCCAAGTCATAGGTCTAGGGAAATCCCTTGCTGCCCATCATTTTCCTGATCAACAAGACTTAGCAAGAAAGAAACTGAAACATATTAGACAAGGAACCAAAAGAGGTTTAATTAAGAAGAAATTAAAGAAGGTGCTTGCAGCAATAGTTACCAAAGAGAATACTCCTAAATATAACTGTAAAAGTTCAAGCTGGATTTCTAAATGTCCAGACGTTCAAGTCTTAGAAACACCTCAGCTGCACCCTATTCTTGGACTTAATTCTTGTTCAGAAGTCAAATGTTGCCTTCCATTTTCAGAAAAAGGCTCACCTTCAGTGTGTGAAACTTAAAGTGCTTGGTCGCCTGAATTGTTTTCATAAAAAGTCACCTGAACCCAATTCCTGAACTTTTAGATCTGTTTGGAAATGTTTGCCTTTGGTGGTATGGAAAGCATTCTTTACATTTTGAAAACTTGGAGAGAAACAAATTGAAAAGGGGACTGTGCTGAGTGCTACTGTGCCTTTTAAAATATAATGCCATTATTTTCCCCAGGGTTTTATCTAGTATACTATAATTACATAATTGAGTGCTTTATTTTATACTGTTTATTGTACTTTAATAATATTAAGATTGTTTTTTGAAAGTATTAATATTTGTTAAAATCACATATACATCCAGAAATAAAGCCATTGCAAATCAAAACTTAGTTTTTCTTAATTCAGCTCAGACCAGAAAATGCCTGCTATATTATAGGCCAGCGAGTGTGCTGAGTTTGGGATAGAAAGCTACAAGATCACTGATCTCAAAATAGTTTAATCTGCTGGATAAGACAGATATATAAAAATAATTTCAGTACAATGGAGAAAATGGAATGATATGGGTTTGTAATGGGCATGACAAACGTTTACGTTGCTGTGGGAGTATGGAAGAAAAGCAGTTAACCCATCGGAGAGCTGAGGGTAAGAAGAAACGTTAAAAAAAATTACTATTTAGAAGTTATATGTGAAACTGTTACTATTTTATTTAATAACTATACATTGAATGTCTACTCTACATGCGAAGCACCATGCTTAGTGCTGGAAACTGAAGATAAAAAGCCCCTTCCCTCAAACTCATGATCAGTTGGAGTAATCAGGCAATTAGAATCTGGTTAAGTTCTATGATAGGAGATAAGCTTGGGGTGCTAATAGGAACAAAAATGAAAAGCAATTTTCAGACACTCAAGTCTTAGCAACAGCTCTACTGCACCCTGTGAAATCTTTCACATATCCCTGGTCAGGTTCCTTTGCCATTCCCAACAATAACCATTCCAAAACAACGCTTCCTTCATGCTGCAAACCAGCTGCCACTCTCCCTGCCTCCTACTTCATGGAGAATATTGAGATCACCTGATATTTTCTCAACTTCCCACTACCATACCTAACCACATGTCTGTATCTGTACTCACCCACAGCTGCTTTCCTCTAGTCATAGAAAATGGTACTCACCATCTAAGTGCTAATCTTTCCATTTAGACTATTGATCTATCTATCTTTAGACAAAGATAGGTGTAAACCTATCTTTGAACTCTTGTACCAAATATTCCGCATATATTTTTACCTTCTTGCTCTACTGTATCCGTTCCTCCCCACATTTTTTATTTTGAAAATTTACAAACAGAAAAGTTGAAAGAGGCTGGATGCGGTGGCTCACGCCTATAATCCCAACAGTTTGAGAGGCCCAGGCAGGCGGATCACTTGAGGTCAGGAGTTTGAGACCAGCCTGGCCAAGACAGTGAAACCTTGTCTCTACTAAAAATACAAAAATTAGCTAGGCATGGTGGCACATGCCTGTAATCCCAGCAACTTGGGAGGCTGAGGCACAAGAATTGCTTGAACCCAGGAGGCAGAGGTTGCAGTGAGTCAAGATTGCGCCACTGCTCTCTAGCCTGGGTGACAGACCAAGACTGTCTCAAAAAAAAAAGAAGTTGAAAGACTACCACAGTGTTACGGTATCTGTATATACCATCTAGATTCAATAATTTTTAACATCTTACCTTTTGCATTATGTGTGTGTTTGGTTTGTGTGTGTGTGTATAGATACAGTTTGGCTTTGCTAAACCATTTAAAGGTCAGTCGCAGACAGGACATTTCACCCCTAAATTCTTCAGTGTAAATTTTCTTAAAGGCTTTTTTCTGCATAGCCACAGTATCATTATCACACCAAGGAAAAATAGCAGCAATTCCCCAATATCATCAAATATTCAGCCCAATCAAATTTTTCTACTTGTCCCCAAAGTATAATTATTGAAGTTATTTAACCAGAATGTCATCAAGTTTCATCCACCTGTTTTTCTACAACCTCACCTCTTATTTTACATATTACCTTTATGAAAAAAAAATCAAACCACTGTTTTGTAGAATGCCCCAATTCTTGACTTGTGTGTTTATTTCCTTATACTAACAGTACGTTGTTCCTCTACCCTAGCCCAGTCCCCAAATTTCCTGAAAATTAGGCCTAAAGACTAGATGGGATTCAGGTTTTTTAAATCCTTTTTTAAGAGTAAAGAGTCAGTGGTGGTAAATGAGTTTGCTTTTCCTTCTATCACTACAGACTCAAGAATTTATTTTTCCAGTGAGAAGAACAATAAACCAAGCCCCGTTGCTTATGCCTGTAATCCCAGCACTTCGGGAGGCCGAAGCAGGAGGATTGCTTGAGTCCAAGAATTCAAGACCAGCCTGGGCAACATGGCAAAACCTTATCTCTACAAAAAAATCACCAGGTATGGTGGCACATGCCTGTAGTCCCAGCTACTTGGGAGGCTGAGGTAGGAGGATGGCTTAAACCCAAGAGGTGCAGGTTCTGGTGAGCTGAGATTGCACCTCTGCCCTCCAGCCTGGGTGACCCTGTCTCCAAAAAACTGGTGTATATTTATTGTCCAATCAGTGCATACAAAGATTCTTCTTTCTAAACTGTTTCCTAGTCTTTCAGACTAGGAAGTAGTCTCTGTGTTCTTTTTGTCAGATATGCTATTCCTAGCTAATTTCATATCTCCCTCTGTGATAAAAGAGCAGCAATGCTGTTAGTATTTACAATGTCATGACTTCAGAAACAGTGTTGAACTATATAGATCTTGCCTAAGCAGTTCCAAAATGTCATTTGTTTAATGCTAGTTCCTCCTTTATGATGTAGCATCCGTTGTGCTACTGTGAATACTTGTTTCCAATGATCTCTCAAAGGTTGCTACTGTACTTCGCTGGTGATTACCAAAAAACCAAGTCACACCCAGAGTGTGCAGGAAAATTAATAATAATCAATTTTCTGGTCATATTTACCATTTGGACTAAATATTGAACATGCCTTCCAACCATGCAGTCTCTTGAACATTCTAGGATGCAATTAGTACTTTCCTAGACTATGATCTCTTTCAGTGTTTGCTGCACTCTGGAAGGATAGGCAAGAGGCCTGTGGTTAGAGCAAGAAGAGTGGTTTCATTTGTGCAAAGAGTGTTTATTCCTCCATCAGCATGGCTTAATGCCTAATCTGGAAAGTACGGTGTCAGTATCAGTTGGAAATTAGAGGATATTGATTGGAAGTGTCCACTGGCATTGTGGACCAGCAGTCTTAAAAGGCCTCAAAGGAGATAGGCATGGTCTGCAGAAGGGGGAAGGGTAACCTTCCTGGTATCAGTGGTAGGAGGCAGACAGGGTAAATAGCAGCTGCCACTACCCTCACAGACCCGGGAAGGCCAATGCATAGGCCTACACACACAACTCAATCCCAAGGAACAGTGGTGACCTTTGGTAGCCACAACCCTGAACTTGTGATAGTCACCTAAAAAATATGTCAGCACCATTCTGGCAGCCCAGCCTTGTACTGTCATATTAAAGAACTATTGCCTCAGCCAATGGGAATGACCCCATTCTCTTAAGACCCAGGTTGATTTCATAGGTGCAAGTCCCAAGTTCCTGACGACACCAAACATGATGTAGAGGGTTGGAGAATGCCTCAAATGGGATAAATGGCACTATCCCAGGCACAAAAATGAGACTTAGAAAATTAAATCAAGGGAGGCACTTCTGGCAACTAGCTCCCACATAGGACCAGGTCCAGGCTCGGGGTGGACCTTTTGCTTAGTACCAGACACTAGAAGAGAATTTAGGGGGAAACTTGAGGAAGACATTCCAAAGCCTCAGTCTCCCTGAAGCATAGGAGCTGTGACAGGATATCCACTCACCCAGATCTCAGAGGTAGTTTCTGATCTTCTCTCCGTATTGTCCTTTTGTGCCTCTTTATTTGCCTGTTCTAAAAAGATAATGCCTCTTTTATTTTTTTAGGCAGATCTTGGAGTGCAGTGGCAAAATCCTGGCTTACTGGAACCTCCACTTTCCAGGCTCAAGCAATCCTCCCACCTCAGCCTCCAGAGTAGCTAGCACTACAACTGTGCACCACCATGCTCAGCTAAATTTTTATTATTATTATTTGTAGAGACAGAGTCTTGCTGTGTTGGCCAGTCTGGTCTCAAACTCCTGAGCTCAAGTGATCTGCCCACTTTGGCCTCCCAAAGTACTGAGATTACAGGCCTGAGCAACCATTCCTGGCCAATTTTTAAAAATATTTTGTTGAGACAGGGTTTCCCTATGTTGCCTAGACTGTTCTTGAACTCCTAGGCTCAAGTAATCCTCCCACCTCAGCCTCCCAACATGCCAGGATTATAGTTGTGAGCTGACATGCCCAGCCCAATGATGGTGCCTCTTATAGAGTGTCTAAATGGATAGAGAAACAAGGCCTAACTATAGGAAACCCACTTCACCTATGAAGACATACATAGATTAAAAGTGAATGGGTGGAAAAAGATACTCTATGCAATTGAATGCCAAAAAAAGAACAAGAGTAGCTATACTTGTATCAGATAGAATACAAATCAAGGAACATGAAAAGAGACCAAAAAAAAGTCACTGTATAATGATGAATAGGTCAATTCAGCAAGAGGATATAACCTTTAAAAATATTTATGCACCCAGCACCAGAGCTTTCAAGCATATAAAGCAAACATTAATAGAGCTAAAGGAAAGATAAACTGAAATGCAATAATGTGGGGGGCTGGACACAGTAGCTTATTCCTACAATCTAGTGCTTTGTGAGGCTGAAGTAGAAGGATCACCTGAAGTCAGGAGTTCATGACCAGCCTGGTCAACACAACAAGACCCCATCACCACAAAAAAATGTAAAAGTTAGCTGGGCATGGTGATGTACACCTGTAGTCCCAGCTGCTTGGGAGGCTGAGGTGGGAGGATCACTTGAGTCCAGGAGTTCACAGTTACAGTGAATTATGATCACATTACTGCACTCCAGCCTGGGCAACAGAGTGAGACTCTGTCTCTAAAAATAATAATAGAAGACTTTTCTCAGGAATGAACAAATTACCTAGACAGAAAACACCTAATAAGGCCTATCTGACACATACTGAACATTTCACCCAGGTCCTACAGAATACACATACTTTTGAATATCCCATAAAACATTCTCAAGAATAGACCATATCTTAAGTCACAAAACAAGCCTGAACAAATTTTAAAAAAAAGGTAAAAATCACATTAAGTATATTTTCTGACCACAATGGAATAAAACAAATCAATATCAAGAGGAACCTCAGAAACCTTACAAAATTAATTTCCATGCAAATTAAACAACATTCTTCTGAACAACCAACGGGT